TTAAACACCAAGGAATTTTCATTCCACGTTATTCTCTACCGTACCAATATTATTTTCCATAAAATATTATTATTTCATTATGTAATAAAGTGTATGACTACGGATTACTTCCAAGAGTAAATTTCACCAGGGTTCGATAATTTCTGCCAAGAATTTACAAAATCAGATTTAATAAATTATTATAAGAACGATAAAACAATTGACGCCAGAAATGGCGTCAACGACCACTAACCGCTAAAATTCATACGACACCACAGTGGTGTCAGTAGTCGTCATAGTGTTAATAAAGTATGAACACACACTTACGATTTCTAGGAATTTAAACGACAAAAATTTTCACGAAAGTGAATAATAATACAACGCAATAGCAAAAAAATTACATACTTTCATAAATTACAAAGGACAGGTTACGTACAACACCTCCTTTGAATACAATGTATTATAACGTAATGACTAACGGTGAGTGCGTCTTTCTTCTTCCTTTCTCCATTATTCCCCCTTTCTTTTCTGGCCACAGCTTAACATCGAGGGGCGTACTCCGGGAGAATAATTATTATGTCCCCAACGTTCCGAGCATTAGCAATTCCTTGTTCCACCCCTATCTCTCACTGGCCCTAAATCGAGTCTAATTATACTGACTAAACATTAAAGACCGTCTTGCGACGATGTCCCCCGTCGGAGCTGTGCTTGCAGAACGATCTTCTGAGAACTTTAACCTGCGAAAGTCTTTCGTCAATTACGAACTTCGTCATAATTCTTTCATTTTAGTTTTTGTACTTCTTACTATCAAAGATTATGGAGCACCTCATTCGTCGTTCACCAACTTCTGAAGAACTTTTTACCAACAAAGTGTATTCACGCTGGAGAAGAAAATTATTGTCTAATTTTATATAATGCTGATTACGAAAACGCCAAATTTCTTGTTTTCTGCTACAACTTTGTTACTGCAATCAATTAAGTATATTCCATTGTCTGTTCTCTTTTATGTCACGAAAATTTACCAACACGTATTATGTAAATGATATCATACTTATTTTGTTGAAACCATTTTTTAATTAACACTGCTCCTATACTTTACATTATTTGTTTATACTGTATCTTTTTCACACTGCTCGGAGAAATGTATGGCTTTAAATTAACCCAAATAAAAGTGTAAATTAATAACATATACTATATAGGTACTGCTATATATTGTATACTACTCATTGTCAGCTATAGGATTATGAATGAGTGTTGTAAGTCTGGACTTTATTATTGATCTCGCCTCATATCTACATGGTACTTATGAGCAAACTATTCCTAATACCGGGAATCCGAATATTAATGACTTCTTGGAAATCTTGCCACGAATTAAAATTGAATTAGATCAAGCGAGACAATTAGCCCTCTTATCGATATTTCAAACGGCGACTAGTTACATCTTAACCTTATCGCGCGTGGTTAACGGAGAAATTTCGAAATCTTTCGCGGGAAATCTTCTCTGCGGAAAACATACACTACCGGCCAAAAGTTTGGAATCACCTCCCACTTTTCATCAATATTAAATCTGCTGTTAATTTTTTATAGATTTGAAGTTTATCTCAATTCTACATTTATCAATTTATCTCATATGAATTGATTCGAATGATAAAACATTCTCAAAGTCGCTGACTTTTTTCTGGAAATTTTTGTGATTGCAAACATTTGGCCGGTAGTGTGCATCCACTAGTTGCAAGTTGCACAAAAATTCCCCAAAAAGGTTAGCATTTATAATAATTTTCCAACGAATGTTTTATCATTTAAATCAATCGAAATGAGGTAAAGTGCTATTGATCTCCACAATATCAATTTCAAATTAGTAAAGAATTAGTGGCAGATTCAATATAAATATAAATTTGCAGGTGTCGCGTCGCGTTCTCCTTTGATTATTCAAAATGTTCGCGCTCACGACTGTTACCCGCCAAATTAATCTTGGGTAACTAGTTCAAAAATTTGTCTTGCTCGGAACGTTAGCAAATTTAGAGTGCGTCACGAAAACGACTGACGACTTTTTTTAAACTCGAGTATTCGATCGCGACTCCTACTTGTGGTCTCGTTGACTGACTGGAGAATGTCATGTGATATACAGAGAAATAGGGTAACACTTATCTTCATTCAAGGGCTGTTTTCACCCCGAAGAACCGAAATTGGGCCAAAAAAAATTGCCCGATACTTCTCTTGAGGTCACTTACAAACCAACAAAGTTTCGAAAAAATCAGACATTTCGGGTTACCGAAGTTCCCTTGTTAGACATTATCACAGATAAAGTACCGAAACATCTTTTACTTCATCACTGCCTCACCTCCACTTACTTTCTCTTCCAGAGCACTTATTACAAACAGGCATCAAGTGCAGTCATGGGGTTTCCCATCTCCCCAGTCATCGCCGACATCTTCATGAAGCACCTAGAAGATCGTATCCTCACAGAAGCTCCAATTAAACCATCTCATTGGTTCAGATACGTGGACGATACCTTTGTAATATGGAGTCATCGTAGAAAAACCCTCAACAATTTCTTAAATTTCATAAATTTCTTTCATCCTAACATACAGTTTTCTAGGAAACTAATAAGTAGGAATATAAGTAGGAATAGAAACTAATAATAAATACCATACTATTCCTAGACGCGTTGGTCACAAGGAAACCTGATAGATTTTTAGGACATCAGGTATAGCATAAACCAACGCATATCAACCGACACCTATACGCCTCCTTCCACCACAATCCATCCCAGAAGACTCAGTAATTAATTTTCTAGTACACCGAACAATCACTATCTGCGAAGAAGGACACCTGCCCCAGGAACTCGACCCCATCAAATCCACACTACAACAAAACTTCACTAAAACAAAAATAGCCCGTACAATTGACTGGATCACACACCCGAGGGACAGACAACATAAATCAGATGAAGACAAGAATGTCAGCACAATCTTTCTACCCAACATACACGGGGCAACTGACCGCATTAGCAGACTACTAAGAAAGCAAATGCCCACCTCTCCCAAGAATTAGAAACTACAATTGCTCGTGTGGAAAAAACTACACTGGAAAGACTGGGAGGAGCGTGAGTGCACGATTAAAAGAGCATCAGCGTTGCAGCAGATTGAGCTACATTCAGTCTGTCGTTGCAGAACATCAAGCAACAGTAGGACACAAAATTCTCTTTAACGAAACGTTAGTCGTTGCAAAGCCCAAAGAATATTTCCCCAGGGAAAATATGGAAACTTTTGAGATTATGAAGTACCCTAATAACATCAATAGGGGCACGAGACACCACCTAAGCCCAATCTGGAGCTCTATCCTCCCAGTTTTTTAATAGCTCAGCTGACCAATTAATAACATTCGCTGATTGGTAAGCAATGAACCGAAACATGGCTTACCATGTATATGATAAATAATACATCTCATTTAGACACGCGTCTTTATCAGTGTGTCTCACGAACCTGATAAAGTGAACTGTAATGCTTACGAAATGTCGGAATACTCTCTCCAGAAGGACACGGCTTGCACCTGAAAGCCACAATAATAATAATAAAATTAGTCTCATCTGTAATAATAATAAGTGCTTTCACTATAATAATAATAAGTGCAATAAATACAATTTCGGTAATTATACAGAAAAGAGCACACCTCACTGATTTCAATTACCTTCAAATATGTTGTAGAGGACAACATTCTCTGTACATGTTACTACCGCTCGGCTTCAGTAACGGGACATCCTGTATATTTAATGCTATGTACTTTTTTAAGGGGTTGTGTTAGGCGTATTCTCTAGCCGCATTTATGGCACTGGCTCAAGAGGTCATGCGTTACAGACAACGCGGTTGATTTGAAATAAACAAAGGTGTTTATTACATTGTCTGTAACCCTAGGCGGTGGAACCATACTTGCCATAAGTCCTGGAGTCTCCAACGGACGAAATCGAAAGCGGTTCTAGACTTTTCGCTTCGTCGCTGGGAATTCCAGACCTCGCGGAGATTCCACAGGATTCCCAACGCTTTCTCCTGTCATTGTGCACCTCACCCTAAAGAAGAAAGTCGCAATGCACCGGAGAAAACTGATTGGTGATGGGGAAAAATGTGAAAACCCAATCAGAGTATCCAAAAAGAGAACCGGAGTCTTCGACGAGAAGAACTCAACAGACTCCGGCAGATACATCTAGAATTTTGAAAAGATCGCATCGAGAGAGAAAACGTTACGAGATTGACTTGACAAGTTCACCACCTGTACATATTATAAATAAATCTGGATAATAGTTAGTTATGTTTTTACTCTGGTCCTTCAAGTAACTTTATAATTGGCACACCACGCGCAAAGTTTGACTTAGATTTAAGTTAAATTATGGTTAGGTTTGGGTTGTATTTGGATTTGGTAATAAATAAGATAATAAGTACAACTTACAATTACCGGAAAAAGTTACTTAGTATTTAACACTAGCGTTAATTAAATTAACACAATCTATAACCCATTAATTTTTTTCTCTTTTATTGATATTAAAACTGATTATCGTCAATGAGTTAGGTTCAGGTTGGGATATATAGGGATACAGTCAACGTGAGGCGACCACCTACACCAGAATAAAGTGTACTTGTAACCTAAGTTCAACTAAAGTTTTTTACGAATATTTCGGAAACTAAGACCAAACGACAGTAATATGTATAGGGAAAAGTTGCCCAAAATGTTGTCCTCTGTGACATATTTAAAGGTCATTGAAATCGGAGGGAAATCGGTAAATAATATTTACTAATTGACAAATTTATCGGCCTTAAATTTTCAACGGAGCCTTAATATAAAATCTTTTATACATTGTTTCTAAATCTACTTCTACGAATAAAACCTGGAAACAATACGCGAATAAGAACTGAAGAGGACAGGCGTTCCGTTCTGCATGACATATTACAGTCAATTTTGTTTGTTTTAGTTTTTCTAATGGTGAAAAATAACGACAGCATAACACTTTCCTGACATTTGTTGGACAGTACCACCGGATATCGTTTACGGAGGTGATACTAGTGCCGACTTGGCAGTTTCGGAGGGCGACAATGCGACTCTAAGCTGCCGTGCAACGGGAAGACCGACCCCAAGAGTGTCCTGGCGAAGGGAAGACGGAGAACCCATTCTCATAAGGGCCTCTTCTACCGGTACATAATGACACTATAAAACTCGTGGATATCTCCGCGGACAGACCTTTCTCACTTGCCGCAGAAAAAAAGCAGAGAAACGACGAAGGTTTAATTTCGTTTGCTACCCATTACACCTTTTATTCGCGTTTCTGTTGCTCCGCTGTTTTCATCTGTCCCCTTTACCCGAGCTTCACGAACAAAACACGATGCTTATGACCGGCAATTGTTGCCCCGCTGCACTTTATGTCACCAAAATCGATACCAGAATGCAAAATGCGTAACATATGGGTTCCTATTTTTTTTTTTATCGCTTGCACTGTACGCTTTATCATATTGCGTTATATTTTCAATCCTACATTTTCAATACTTTATGTTTCTAATACCGAAACTCCGTGCAAGTGTTGCTGGTGTATCCACTATTTGTCCCTCTTTTTTTTTCGGCCTATTATACAGGGTGTCACCAAAATAGGTGGCTAAACTTTAGTATCGTATTCTGCTCTTCCTAAAGATAAAAGCAAATCATCCGGAGTCTCTTTTTTCGAAATATATACAGTTTGCACTGTCATCGTAGTAAAGCAAGTCATCCTGCCACTGAAGCGTCGTAGTAAGTCAGTCTTTATCTAAACGTTTGATAGTTAAGAAGGTGTTCTCAGGCTGACTTATTCTACTATCGAGTGGACAAATATTTGCTTCATTTATAGATAGGGAATAGACCAGGAACTTTTAGGAACTACAATGCTCCGTCTTAAACAAAGAGTGTTAATATCTTCGAAAGGAAAAGTTTCTGGACCTGCATCTATGTGACCTTTTTTCATCCTTAAGAAGAGTACGATACCAAAGTTTAGATATCTATTCTGGTTAAACCCTGTATTTTGCCGCGATCTATTTGTATGTATTTATGTAATACTTTAATAAGCATGTTTTCAATATCAAAATGTAATACATTTAATGTGTAGTACTTACAAAACTCTCTTTACATTTTTAATATATTTGACGCTATCTTTATATATTTAAAGGGGTACACCACGCAGAATATTAAAAATAGATAATGTCTGGGAACCTTTATTCATAGCTAATTACTAAATCAGAAGTTTAGATTTTTTCAAAGGATACAAATGTAAATTTTAACTTTATTTTCCAATTTTCGAAACGAAAAATTTTACAAAATGGCGAAGTTATTCACGATTTCCGAAACCTCTTTTGCTAGATCTGGAATCAAGGAAGCAAGGGCTGGAATGTCCGAAATCACAAAATTCTTAGTGATTCATAAATAAAGATCTTAAATCTTCAATGTAGCGTAGGATTTTTAAAAAATTGTAATAATTACAGAAATAATCGCAGTTTGAAGTAGAATTTTGTTTTACTCGGAAAAATCAACTTCAAACACATTGAAGAAAATGTTATGTAGAACATTTCCGCAAAGTTTGAAGAAAATCACGCGAATAGTTCCGAAAATTTCATGACGTCCAGGTCAAGAAACATAGTTTCGAGAAAATCAAAAATAAGTTTTAAGATAGCATTGCTTTCTGATAAAACAAGACTTTTCAAATTTTACTTTCAGTCAGCTATTCCACGTCCATACAGTAATCCTTTTATCTTAGAAAAATTGTCGACTGCCTCTTTTTGAATCGCTCTAAGCAGTTTTCGAGTTGTTCTTTACTCTCTTCCGTTCTTCCTGCAGCGTTGCTTAGCCGTTGCTGACACGTTATTTTACACAAGCTGTAAATGTTTGATCCAATATTCCGATGTTATCGTTAATAAAATATTGTTGCAGCCGTCATTGAAGATGCTATCAGTTGTATATGCGGCAATATCGATCGTATTTTTCACATAGAACGTCGTTTTAGGAGCTATCGACCAAATAACGGAATTCAGACTATCGTTGCTATTTTGCGTGAATCTACTTTCACATGGTTGTAAAAGCTCGTCGGAACTGAAGTCCTCGTAAACTGGACGAATCACATCTCGAATAACTTGAGGAAAAGGATTTCTGTGAACCTAAGTCCTAGGCGATTTTGTGCTCCTCTTTTCAGATCCGGTCAGCGAGATCCATCGCTGTAACTTCGCCAGGTATTTGAATTTCGGTACACCGCTTTGACACAATATTCTACACACTTGAAACTTTAAGAAAATGTGAAATGAAATTTTGATTTTTTTAAACCGTTTGGGTGGTGTACTCTCTCTTAAATATATTTAGTGACAGTCAGATAACATGCGCCCTAGTTAAAACTTATGTGGTCTTTTGGGACCAACTAGACATTTTCTTGGAATAGATTTCTACTTTTTCCCACAATTACTAACACGATGTGCACTAACTTCAAGTCTGATGACAAAATGAAACTTGTGGTTAATCAAATTTAATCTATAATTAGTATATTTATAAAAATTGTTCCTTTTGTGCTTAAACGTTTTAACCTTGCTTTCCTTTTTTTTTTCGTGTACTTTTTTTATTAACTTGCTATCTCGAATCAGAAAGTATCATTTCGCTATCTGAAATTTGTCAAGCGCATTTGTTTTAGTGTAACTTGTACGTATCTCATTTATCTGTTTTAAATTTTATTAAATGAGAACTTGGAAAATGCTACATGTACAAAGAAGATAAATAAAAAGTAAACAGAAATCAGTAGTATAGGTTAATATTTATTGTTCAATAAGTTAAAAACAACCGCGCATTATACAATGGTAAAGGTAATAGTAATCTTGCGGAAGTGCAAAAATTCTAATAATGTGAAATGTTCAATTGTGAAAACTAGAAAGTTGAATTTGTTACGAAACTGAAATTTATTCTGGAGTTATACAATTCAAGTAAGTACTAATTACTGCTCACACGTACACATTTTGCATGATGCTGGGTCAGTAACTGCACAATAGTACGCATGTAATTTGAAACACAACTATTGAGCTGTTCAGTGTCGTAAGTGCCAAAGGATATTCGCTATTCACCACCATATGATCTTACGTTAGTTTGATATTAATGGGGTAATTAGGCAACACTAATATCCTAATTACATCGAAGTCCTCTTTGTACGAAAATGAGGACTTGGTAGAATAATGTGACTTTATATATTTGTTTATACTGAAGAAGATTTAAACCTCTTTAAATATCCAAAAAAATTAACATACTAATCAATCGGTCAATCGATAAACATATTTTATAAAAACAGATCGTCGTTCTTTACAGTTTTGCAAACATTTTACGGTAGAGTCAACAAAAGATGAAATACAATTTTGCAACTACTTGTAAATTTTGCTTAATACACTCTTTACGTACATACAAAACATTCTAAACCATGCTAAAATGTGCACACAGTGTTCCCCGGATCAGTGTAACATTCGTATCCCCACTTCGTTTCGCCGAAAAACCTGACTGATACTCTATCTCGCTCTTTCTCCGATCCCTAGTCAAGTGACACTCATAAACACTGAACAATTTTCCTTACCCGTTTCGCCGAAAAACCTGACTGATACTCTATCTCGCTCTTTCTCCGATCCCTAGTCAAGTGACGCTCATAAACACTGAACAATTTTCCTTACCCCGGTGTTAATGCCCGTGGTGGTGGCGATGAACTTTCGAGCTTTGTGGATGTTTGCACGATGTTGTGCCGTCTAGATACTGGTTCGAAGGACCACCCAAATGATTGGGACTTGGAAAAACTGATCTATGGTATCGCGTGATGGAGCTGGTTGCTCCTTGGTTCTCCTTGTTCGTGGTGGTTGAACGACTACTCGACGACTCCATTCTCCGACGTCGCGTCTCGGACGTCCGTGAGCGGCATTTTTGTTGGGACACGCTGATTGGTTAATGGTTAATGGTTTTGCTTACCGTTCCCTTCAGGCCACACTTGGCTGTTCTCCTTGTTCGTGGTGGTTGAACGACTACTCGACGACTCCACTCTCCGACGTCGCGTCTCGCACGTCCGTGAGTGGCATTTTTGTTGGGACACGCTGATTGGTTAATGGTTAATGGTTTTGCTTACCGTTTCCTTCAGGCCACACTTGGCCGTGGGCATGCACACAGTGGGCCATGCGAACTATAAACAGAAGACGACTAACGAAAAGTATACTGTCAGTCGCCGGTGACTGACACGGCGCTTAACGTGTTAACGATTGCATTTGTCAATCAGCGTGTCTAATATCGTCTTTACCGCCCTTCCAGTGCGCCCTTAGCGCGCTGTCACCTTGGAAGGGTGGGAGACGGTCGCGAGGGGTGGGCGGAAGGTCCCAAAAATCTGGAATTTCCTCCGGGTGACTAATCGGCAAGCGGACCGTTACATACAGATGTGCCGTTTATGGTATGTTCGTAGGCTATCGAGCGCGGGGGACACAAATTACTAAAAATGTAGCAAAGCAATTCTAGTGACCCTCGCAGGATGTAATTAGACCCGTGCAAGCAATAAACGAAAATCATGAACTCAAAAATAACCATTCCCGGTCGATCGTGCCATAAACCGTTTCTACAGAAAACCTAACACCCGGTTTAATGCAACTTTTCGGTTCAGAGAATCGTTATACTGATCCGGAGAACACTGTACTAGATTGAAAATTAGTGCCTTATCTCTAAAATTAATTGGCTATGTATGTATTAAATATGTATTCTATTTCTTTTTCTTCTGTATTCCCTCCATACGAAACGAGAGAATGAAAATTGCAAACTTGCCAAGTTTAAAAAGATAATATTAAATTACTTCGAACGGCACAGAAGTGCTTCTCAAAACTTTGATTCAACATACGGTACTTCCTTTTATAAATACAGTTGTGCCATATGTCCCTTTAAATTTAACAGACTTTTAATTCCGTCTGCTAGCCTTAGTTCGAGTGAGCTAGATTGAAAAAAAGTCACTACAAAATGATACACGGTGACAACTCCCTTCGATACTAATCCCAACAATACATTTTCTGAAACATCGTTATATTTTGTATTCTTCTTGCCTTTTTCTTTCATTTTAAAATATACATATAAGCACAGCAACAAATACAGTTGATATATAATAGTTAATATTTATATACATTTTGATAGCAATCAAGTAGAATAACCAATTTTTTTTTAATTACATTCTAATTTATTTCTTCACAAAAATAACAAGAACAACCCTTTTGATCAGGTACATTTGTTTGTAAGGAATACAAAGGTTAATATGAAAATGAAATTTTTGCGTAATTTGTTTGAAACAACTTTTTCTTGAAAAAATATATCCAATGTTTGATGAATATTTGACGAAATATTGACATATTAATTGGTTACTTCAATATCAGATCGATGGTAAAAGGTTTCTAACAGATGATCGATAGGCCGAATTAACTGTTCCACGTTCACAACAAAATCCTTTTCCACGGTATCGATAATAAGCGTATCACAAGCCAAACCCGTAGCAAAGCTCAAACTCAAGTGCCGAGAAATTTTCGGACGTGGGCACACAGATTGGGCGTAAGAACATGGTGGAGTGGGTATAACGAGGCAGGTCGTTGAAACAAGTTTCACCTCTTGAACTCGAAGACAGGAACAGCGGGGGCGCGTGTAAAGAAACAGAGGATGAGGATCCTCTTCATGGTATCTTACACACACATCCACCTCGAAACTTAAAGCCGTGTACATACACACGCTGCAGAAACACGCAAAGCGAACCACAGAGCTTACGTTTGTGCAGTCTAACAGCAATATACAGGGTGATTCCGAAATCGTGGTGCAACCGAAAAGAAGATAAGGTTGGTGGAACAGATATAGCGACCTCGTAAAATCGGTCAGGAATCAAAGTAACCACGTTTCGAGTATTCCAAGAAGGGAATTGACAGAAATATGAGAATCTAAAGACTCGGACCTTTAGTCAGGGCCGTATAACGTATTCATCGCGCATCTATCGTCCGTCAAAATCTTAGAGTGGTCTTCGCTTTCCTTTGTATTTTGCTTCAATTTTTATCATTTGATCCTTCACTTTCTTCCACTGATTACCGTTTACGTTATATACTTAATTTTGTATCTATTCCACGTTCTTAAAATTCAACTAGCCAATTGATCTGCGTTGGTCACACAGGTTAGGTTTACGATACATCAGGTACAGAAAGAAACTTCAAATATTAAAAGTGCTAATTGACATTTTTAATTTGTCCGGTGATACATGAAATATCATTTGAAATTCCACGTGAAACGTCATCAGTTGTCGTGCTTTTATTGTACGGACCCTAAAACCGGATGCCGTATGCGGTCCGCCACTTGATGCTTTCATTTACGAGCTCGCTGTATTTCTTTCACCGACCTTATATAATTCCTTATGTAAAAGTAAAGCGAAAATATGGAATAAAACTTTTTCATATGGGGCTCCGTTTTCGATAAAATTGGATTTAAAGGTTCCTAGGACTTTTATTTGTGGAGTTCTTGTTCAAAGAAATAGCAGAAGATAGTGCAAATCTTCTAAAACTGAAAGAAACCATCATACAAGCTTTCGAACAATTATAGCGTCAAAACATGGTTACATCAGTCCACGACACCCTGAATTAAAAACCAAGGATATGTATGCATCGACAATAATGTCAGTTTCAACAATTCGTTCAGTAATGTATGTTCCGTGGCATACTCACAGGATCTTGGCCTTCCCTTTATCATGATTTTGACCGTATTGAAAGCACGGGTGGCTAGCAATTTGTACAAGGGACAACCTCCGAAGTGCAAATTGCAAGCACGTTTATGACACGCAAGCCAGTAAAGTCGTTTTTGAGAGTCGATTTATTTTTATCCTGCAATTGTATTTCCTCGAGTTTCTTCGTCCTCAACGACTAATTGCATGTGCCATAAAGGTGAATTTCCAAAGGTTCATCGAGACCGGGCCCAGTGACCGTCGACCAGGTCAGGCCGCAGGATCAAAGCCTGGCGGAGATTCCACCACGCTGCCAAATTTCCCACATAGCGTCTTCCACCTCCACTGACACCACCTCTCCTGCCCGGAATAGGTGGGTATCGGTGGAACTGTCACCTGATTGGCAAAAATACGTACCAATCAGGTGACAAGACCGGCTCACGAATTTCCGAGTCGAGGGAAATTCGTGAGGCAGTTCAGTTCACCACCAGACATCAAAGAGAAACATCATAATCTCTAGTTCAACGCACATCATCCACACCATCGTTCAACTGCTTCATTAAAATAGTCTACTACGAATTATTTCATTCACGTTTAAACTTCACTACCACACCCTCTAATATCCTTGTAACCTTAAACGGTCGTAAGGACATACGCGAGTATAGACAGACGCGTATTCTCGTCAGAAACAATGTAAACGTAAATTAATAAAATTTTTAATTAATATCACGACATTGGTATCACTTATTAGTTCAAACTCGATTTTCCCAACCCACGTGAACAAATTTTGTTATACATTTTCGAATCACCTTTCCGATTTCGGAGACACCCTGTATACACGCAGCGTGCGTATACGTATAACATCGTTTGTATTACACACATCGAAGAAAAGGCACGTGGTAGTTTCTGGTGCAGAGCCTCGAGTTGGCAAAACTTTGGCCGACGTAGTTATACCACCTCCTTCCACCTTCGTCAGATGCGGCTGAACCACTCAAGACCAGCTGTATTTATCTTTTCCACGTTGCGCATATTTTTGTTTCCATCTGTAACAGTTAACGATTGTCACAGCGATCGTCTCTATCGATGATTCCTCGATTCGTATTCGTACTTACAGTTTGGAATACAAAAGAGAAAATTTGTTACGGGCTCGATAGAAACGACCTTAAAGGGGGATAAAAAGTGTACATTTTTCATGGCATTTTTAGGCTGCATCGATATGTTTCCGCACAATATACGAAACCGCTGCTCACGTGCAACTTGCGTCGCTTTTGTACCTGAAGACGACGCTTTTCTTACGAGCTTTGCAAACTCGTTAGCGTTCACTCGTTAGCTATCTAAGTAGTGAATTATATAAGCATATATCTTGTCTCTTCTTTCGCTTACGGCGCTCTGTGTTGAGGTTCAAAGTCCCTCTCCCCTCTCTCTCTCGAGTGCGCACACACACTTACTTTCTTTTTCACACACGGCATTCTTTCGTTTTCTCATTTCACTTTCAAATTAGTTTCTTCGTTCAATGGTACGAGTCTGGTTTACCTTGATTAAAAGTTCTAAGTATCTAGATTCGTTTAGATCGGAATTTCGTTTTGTAAAGTTGCCTTAATATTTTTTCCATTCTGCGACTTTCCGCTGTCAATCTCTTATCCTTGATTGTCGTTGCTGCTTGGTGCACGAGATCTCTTCGCTAGATTGTTTTCGTGTCTATCGCACCTAGTGTAAAGCATAATTAAACAAAGTAATTTAGGTAATTTGAGGAAAGGACATCTGCAAAGATATTGTTGCTTCTGCAAATACACGAACTGATAATTAACAGAATTACATACATATTTAGAACACTGTTCTTTCATATATTTTATTGCTGTATCCAGCTTTACGAACATTTTCTTTATTCCTGAATAAGTATAATCATTATTGCACAGAGGCTATCTATTAAATTTTATTCTACTTGACTCGAGTGGCTGTTGAATTGCATTTCCTGTTAAAATTACACTTTACGCGAAAATTTACGCGGAGCACTCGACATACTTTCCCAAATTAATTTATACAGATTGACTGAACTTGGAACAGTTTGATTCCGAGTACGTTTTATTTACCATGATCCACTTAAATACTTTAAAACTTGTTATAGAACTGTAATCTAGTATAATTCGGTGCTTAAGATAATATCGGTGGTGAAATTAAAAGCGTAACGAAGGTATTCAACAACATTTTACAGCTCGTAATAACCGTAATCTTTCCTTGCTTTGTAATAAAAGTATTCGTAATCGAAACACGTTTTCAACGGTGAGAAAAAGAAAAAAGGAAATCAATAAGCGAATTCCTTGTTCTGTTAGCAATACAACGCTCTTTGCCTATCCTAAAGTCGAGAATATAAGATGAAAGAGAAAAGTGGGCAACCGGGGTTACGGAATAAAAAGCAATCTGTCCCGTGAGCCGAAGCGAGCGGAAAAGGGTAGGAGAAAAAAGGAGGGAGCTGATTGGAGGTCGAAGGCAGTGGGTGGGTTGGGGTAAATTTTCGAGAAAGTATATGCAGACAGAAAACGTTTTCTTCGTGCGCAGGTGGTAATACTTTCGACAGGCACGAGACCTACAACGGTTCGCTGCTGCAATTCCATCGTGTCGAGAGGCGACAAATGGGAGCGTATCTCTGCATCGCCAGCAACGACGTGCCGCCCGCCGTTAGCAAGCGAGTGACACTCGCCGTGAATTGTAAGCTCGTTTTCCTCCTAATCTCTGATTGTAACCGGCAGAAAGGTTACCAGCGGTGACAAAAGGCGACGCTACCTACCGTCGCTGACATAACATCGTGCTCCGCAGTGACGAATCACTCCGGCTATTGGCGTATATAACCGCCTCTAGTGGCTGCTCTTTGAAGCTTCTACCGTCTCTGGTAAACCACTAAAATCGTCTATTACGGGGAATTAAAGCGTGTCGAACGGAAGGCCAGTGAAAGTTTTCACGGGACCTTCGAACAGTTTGTAACCGGATAGGGATCATCGATAACGTTCCCGTTGGCAGCTTGAGAAAAAATCAAGATCAGCTCACTTCTCTGTTTCACCCGGGAAGCAGTGAAAGAGATTCTAGATTGCTTATCAGCGAGCACAATCGGAGAGAAGTAAAACGAAGGATGGAGAAGGATGTACCGAGTTGTCTGCAAATTTATCACGTCGCGCAATAACGTTTCCTTTACTCCTAAACGTTGCACTTTAATTTCTGGTTAAAAATGAATAAGATCCGTTTATTCGTTTCATTGTGAAACCGTACAGCTAGATATTGCAATATTCTATTCACATTGTCCTTAAAGCAAAGACTGCTTTTAACGCGATTCTTTTAAAAGATTATTCGCAATTATCGTTGACTTTTATTTTCCCGTAAATAACGAGAAGGTCTTAAGGTTGTCTTAAGACCAGTTTTAATAACACTTACGGTGCTAATAGAAAAAAGTGCACAACGTAGTAAATACGATACTCTTGTAATTATGTAACACAACGTTGGAAGCCTTTCTGCCTAAACATTACCGTACAATAATACATATTAAAAACTATCATATATTTAATACAATTTATCATGTTTATTCTTTTTGTTACGTCAAATTTCTCACTAATTTTATTACTAGATCAGATAAAATTATATAATTACCCAAGTGTATTGATAGATATACCGCGGTTCGGTCACTTCTGGGAGAAATTTCAAGGGGTGATTCTAGAAATCAAAATAAGACGAAAATAAAGAACACAAAAATTGCGTTTGTGGCTTCGTTTTTTAGTTATTAATAATTAAAGATATCCCTATGGCCGAGAAAACCTCCTCACACCAGCGAATATAGGGCACGTCAAAACACAGAGGGTACAGTGATCTTCAAAACCAACGACACATGGCTAGCACTTTACCTTGTACAAATTGTAGATAAGAAGCCAGTGACATTCGACGCCGTAAATTACATTACCGACTTATGCAGCACTACCGCTTGTTTCACCACGACACAGAACCATGTCGAAAAGTTTTATACAATATTTATAAAGAAAAGTAGACTACAATATTTACATACACACGCGCATGCATAAAATGAAAACTAAAAAAAAAAGATGAATGGAGAAACTAAAAAAAAAAATAAATTAAACCTATATTAAAAATACACCAAAATTTAATAAATTACATTTAACCGATTACATCAAACTAAAGCTAATTAACTTATTGTATGATTAAAAGAAAAAGACGACAATAAGTTCTATGTTCGCTTATTGCGTCGAGTAGCTCTTCCAAAATTGTCGAAATGATTCTGTCCTTCCAAAACTGTTCTAGCCTTTTACAGAAATTAGAAAATGCGTCATTGGCTTCCTCAAGAGCAAAATACCCTCCAATTAGTTAAAACACAACGTGATGGTGGTTGAATGTTTATTCAGAAAATATTACCTACTGATGGAGTACTACTTGAGAATACTATTCGACGCGATAAGCAAATATAGCACTTATTTTCATTCTTTTCTTCACATTGTATATTACTTTATGGCGATAAAGTAATAAGTTACTTAGTTTGATATAATCGGTTAAAGTTAATTTATTATATTTTAATGTACTTTTAATATGTGTAGGTTACAAATATTATTTTTAATATTTTTTAGTCTTCTTTGTTTTTTCTAGTTTTCATTTCATGCGTGCATGCGTGTATGTAAATATGTAGTGCATAGTGATTGTTTTTCAGTCATTTGTGTGTATTGTGTTTATTGAAGTAAAGGTCACTTTTTGTGTGCACAGTGTAAGTTGCGTTTACAGTACAAAATGCAACATTTGAAAAACTTTCCAACATGCACTTGTCGCTTGGTGAAACAAAAGGTAGTGTCGCAGAAGTCGGTAATGCAGTTTACGGTACCGAATGTCGCTATCTTGTCCCCTATAACTTATAAGTTATAAGAGGTAAGGTATCGGCCATGTGTCGTTGGTTTTGAATATCACTGTACCCCCTGTCTTGACGTGCCCTGTATTCGTTGGTGTAGGAAGGTTTACTCGGCTATAGGGATATTTTTAATTGTTAATAACTAAAAAATGAAGCTTCCAATACATTTCGGTTATTCTTGATTTTCGTTTTATTTTAGCTTTTAAAATCTTTGCTTAAAATTCTTCCCCATGATTAAACACCCTGCATATTACTGGTAGTCAATGATGTATAGATTACACAGTTTTATCAGTACAGAAAATTTTCCAATTGTAGAGACGCGTGTTCACTCGAATATAACATAATTTGTATCGATACTCAATGATTTGTATAAATGACATTGGTATTAATTATTCGAAAACAATAGATACCAACCGAGTATTAATTGCGCTCAGCTTTCATAACGTGTTATAGATTCCATAATTTCGTATTATTATGCAAAAGCTAATAATTGAGTCTGCGGTAGGTATGCCATATTTTAACTTCGATCATTTTTTAACAACGCTGTCAAATGTAATAATAGAGCAACAAATATTGATTTTTGGATATGTATTGCAGCTGGAGAACTCATATAAAATTATCATACGCAAGTCATTATTATACGCTGTTGCACATTAACATACAAATTCCTCAAATTGTAAATTTCCTCAAACGACCAAAGGACGGTATTATTTGTTTAATGAATCCATTATAGGAAGACAGCCGATAACAAATCGAACCATTCAATATATTCTGCTCTGGAGAATAAACAGCGCTATTTTCTTTAGCATATCGCATTTCCACAATTGCACCGATACATTGAAAAATCATCTTTATTAAAAGATAATAAGCTTAACCCTCCGTAGGCAAGCATATTTTTGCACACTCCGTAGGCAAATTGGGTGGTTTGTGTCCGAGTCTAATTTTACTGTTTTAAGCTTTCAAAAAATCTGAAAAAATTCTGGAGTACTTATCAAAGACTCTACTACATTACACAATTATTCATTAAGTCAAATATTCAAAACTTTTTTCAATAAAAATAAAAATTTGTTTCGAAGAAATACAGGAGTGTTTCACTTGGGTCGTCAAAGACCCAGATTACCTACGGAGGGTTAAAAAGACTGTATTGAATTTCTTCAATGAATTAATCTCCCACATTTATCATCTCGAAATCTTTAAAAAATAATGAAATTCGTGGCTGTGATATATTCGACACTAGAGATTCTTAATAAATAAATCTTAGATTAGAGTTCTCTAATGGAACATTGTTGTATGTATATCATCAATATACACAATAGAATAAAAGGTAAATAATCATTGAAACGTTATAAATTTACTACATATAACTGTTCAATGTGAAAAGTTGTAAAACATTGTAATTGTGGATGCAAATTTTATACACTATCGAAATGAACTGAAACGAATCGAATTGTACATATAAAAGCCGAAATGTATTTCACGTGACAATTCCTTTAAGCAAAATTAAAATTGTGTGAATGTAAAAGGGCAATTTACGTTATTTGCACAAGAACGTTAATTAAAATGTTGGCCAGCCGTGTAATACGATGAATATCGAGCAATTAATATGAAACCGTTTTCACAGTTGCACCAGTCGTCAAAGCACCTAATCAGCTTTTGGGAGCACCTTTGGGTACGGACGTGCAGCTAGAGTGCTACGTCGAGGCATTTCCAAATACAATTAATTACTGGGTAAAGAACCGACGAGGCTCAGAGGACGAGATGCTACTCGAGGGGTGAGATTATGTGTTCTTTTAATTCTGAACGTTGATTCGTCTCCCAAAGGCCGGCGAAACTTATTGCAATTCAATTACGCAGACACAAGTACGGCGTGCGAGAAGAACGATCCGGTTACAAAGTTCTGATGTGGTTGTTAATTAAAGAATTTACTGATCAGGACGTAGGAAGTTACAAATGCGTGTCGACAAATAGTCTTGGCAAGGCTGACGGTACCTTGAGGCTGTACGGTAAGCTTTCTGTTCTATAAAAATAAATTACTTAAATAGGAATTATCGTAAACGCTATTTTTTTGTATATGATTTTTTAACGAAATGCATGCTTATTTTTATGGGTATAATTTAATTTCTAAACACAGTATAGGTATTTCGTTCAATTTATTTGTTCCTTGCTAAAGTTTGTTTTCAAATCTCTTACAATTTCAATGGTTTAACCTGAATTGAGATCATTTAAAAAATATCCAGATACACAACATTCTATTTTAAACGATTAATTCACATTCAAATTACATTTAGACAAACGAAGCAATTAAAATGTAATTTCCATTTAATAAAAGTTCACATGGAAAATGGGTAAATTTTGTTTGACAGAAATAACGTTTAACGTCATTTTATAGAATAGTTTAAAGGTACTATTACAATAACTTTATGGAAAATATTGGCAACGTATATACATACATACGTACATATATGTATTTAAATACACGTTTAATTTCAGAAATTAAAATCGGGTTCGATAGATCATCACGCGGAAAAGATCACGTGTCGATAATTGGCGGTTGGTATACAAATTTTCTACTCTAGTAAAGTAAACGAAACGAAAAGGTATTCATGAATATATTCTTTAGGTTTAGCCGAAGCAGCGCAAAGTTCAGGCGCCAGTAACGGCAGCAAAGGAATATTCAGATGTGTCGAAAAATTATTACATTGCCTATCAATATTTCTGTTCGTACCGGTATTACTCTGACCGCGGTGAAGATGACATCCATTGTTGTTCACCGTTAAGTTAAGTGCTGGATAATTTTGTGCCAAAGGACAAGAAAAATGCAAAAATGTTGTACATGTGTGCGCGCGCGTATGTCTGAGCGTATGCAAGATCGAAGAGAGTATTTGGTACGAGAAGAAAGAAAAAAAAAAAAAATTCAAATTATTCAATTGTACGTGTGAGTGAAAAAATAACCGTGAACCAAAGAAACAAATAAAATCGGAGATTCGCGTTCTCCGTATCTTCCTATTTCCCTTTCCTACTCCCAAATGTCGAAAACATTTTTAGATCAATGGATGTTGTCAATGTATGCGCCCATTTAGATTCGCAATTCGTTTTGTTATATATCGATCACGAATCGACGAATCGATGGAAAGACGCACCGCCAAAAATACAAGACTTGAAAACGCTGAAGCAGCTTGATTCTTCCTAATAATGCTTAACGAGTCGCCGATAATAATAATTTACAATCGTACTATCATGGGTATCAGCATTGCGGACATTTAGACGTCAGGGAACTCGATGTTTCGAAATAAAAGTATGCGATCGAACGTTGTACATTGTCTACGATTATACACTCCAGTGTCCCTTTCCCTTTTCCTTCTTCACGACGATACATTTACTATGTAATTATACGGTAGCAAGAAGAGCTCAAGTATAGTATCCAAAACATTCGGCTAGAATGAGACTTTTTAGGGGTTTTTAAAGTTGTTGAAGCCGAAAATGAGGGTCGCTTTTCACGGAAATAAGGCGGTGGGAAGATACAAGTCCCTATATACAGGGTGTCCCGTAACTGGTGGTGCAAGCGAGTAGGTGGTGATTTTACGTGAAAAACTGAATCGAAAATGTGGAATAAAATTTTTTCATACGAGGCTTTGTTTCCGAGAAAATTGAATTTAAGTATTCGCTACAAACTGCTACTTCTGCTCATACTTTTACGTTGATAAACAGTGGTAATGTCACATTTCGCAAAGAAATAGTCTACGCAGAGGATAGTGTAAATCTGCAGCTAAAAGAAGGAATGGTACCGGCATTCACAGAATTGAAGTGTGAAAATATCGTATCATCAGACCATAACTCTCCGATTTAAAGAGCAAACAATTCGATTAATCGTTAATAAATGTATTATCAATACTTTTCATGAAATTAGTATCGTTTATTAGTACAAACGTAAAGCCGAGAGCACGCGTACTCGACAAATTTTCAAACTTATTTTTCTCGGAAACAAAGCATCTTATGAAAAAATTTTTTTCTGCATTTCCAACTCAGTTTTTCACGTAGAATCACCCCCTGCTCGCTTGTACCACCAGTTACGGGACACCCTGTATAATAGATCTTCACTGCTAGTAGTCGCACTGTTCAGCAATTAGTATAGCAATGTATGTATGAATATACAGGGTGTCCTGTAACTCCTTGAACACCCGGAAATGGGGGGTTGCTAGGGTGACTCTGAACAACTTTTATTTTTTAGATTTTCATTCCGAGTTCAGATAAAAAAACAATTAATCGAAAAAGACTCTCTTAACCATACAAATAAAATTGGAAATACCACGATAATTAGTTGAAGAAGAAACTGGATAAAGAGAATACTATTCGGACTTTCACGGGATAGAACTGTGATACGTCAATTGTGCGGAGAGTACCTACTTATTACATTTCCTCAGTATCGTAAAGCTAATAATGTTTTCAAACCCTGAGCGCGGGCTCTACGCGCGCTGTAATTGGCCAGTGTTTTTCGTTAATAATTCAAAAACCAAGCTTCAAACTGGATTTTGGAAAAGGAAAAAGTTGTTCAGAGTCAACCCAGCAACCGCCCATTTCCGGGTGTCCGAGGAGTTACGGGACACCCTGTATAATAGTATATGGCTGAAGGATAAATAAATGTACGTATATATTAAGCCCGAAAACGCTCGATGAGCGAAAAAAATGACCAGCTATTTTTAAAGAAGTGTATGAGTTTTGAACTAATTTTTGTATTTTTAATAGTTTGATTAGTATATCCGTGTTGGGTTGTACACAGCTTAGTGTTGAACTTCGTTGAAGTATGTAACAATGCTCCCAAAACCGAACCCATAAGGCCGAATTTGTAAAACCGTTCATTTCCGTGAAAAGTGGCCCTCATTTTCAGCTTTAGCGACCTAAAATATGTACTCCCGAAAAGACACATTCGGATGAAAAATTTTGCAGTCCGGATACTATACTATATCCACAAAAAGAAATTAAGATTTAGTACAAAAAAATCATTTTACATTCATTTAACGAACGTATTACCATACACAAGGTATAGAATAGATTTACCATTTTATGGGGCTTGGTGTAGCATGTTTTGAAATACCGTTAGTGAGAAAATCAGAGGTTTTGTTGCGCCATCTACGATTTAGAGCGGTAGATATAGGAATTATATTTCGTTCAATCGTCAAACCTATTGTCAGTAAAATCAGTGGATGAAAGAAAAATCTCTTTCATTCTAAAGAAAATTATATTACCGCAGACGAGGTACAGAATACAGTCCTATGCCTCGTCTGTGATATCATATTACTTACTTAGGAACTATTGGCGAGTTGCCAAGCGTAATAGGGCACGTGCGTAGGTTGAAGCGTCACTAATGAAAAACTTGGTTCGTACAATTTTTATTATAGTCTGAAGAAAATATTACCAGTAAATGTGTGATTTTCCTGAAGAAAATGAGTGCAAATACGAACTTATATAAACTACTTTAAATTATTTCTGAGGTGGGTGAGGAACGTCGTCACACTGTTTTCACCTCAATTATTAAAGTAATAAGTGTATGGTCGCATAGGCGTACAATTTGTCCAGAATATACAATCGTTTACGTTGTTGATTGTCCCGGCGGCAGCGGTTCGGAGGGTACGTCGCGATGGTCGGTAAAGGAAAAAACTGTCCGGAGGTGTAGGCGTACTGGGTTTTTATATTGTGAGGACAGGGAGACAGGAGTAGCGATAGATAAAGGTAGAAGTGGAGAAAGTGGTGGAAACGGAAAATTCGTAGAAAGCGAGCCGTTCGTCCTCGTGCGAACCTAGATGTCACATGTGCGCTTCTAAGGGTACTCGAGGACGAAGGCAAGTCTTAACCCGGGGAGAGACAAGCGAACGGAAACTAAAATCTGAAGGAGTTGGAAAAGAGAAAGTTCGCGTGGAAGAATAGAACGAGGTTTGGTAAGGGTTTGTTGACGACGACGTACCCGCCACATTCCTATTATCGTGATACTATTACTATCATAATTTGTAAATTTTGCTGCATTTCTATGACATAGGTAGTCCGAAAGACGTTACATTTAGACCGGAACAATCTCAATAATTCACGGGTAACGGTTTCATAAAAACCTGATAGAAAATAGAAGCGTTTGTCCTTAAATCGTTACGTATGGACTTAACGTTGTTTATTTCTGTCCTGTCTCGAACGATACGATTGCTTCCTTCGTTGAGCGAAATGATAGCACAAAAGAATTCGAAATCTTACACTGGCACTTTTACAAACGTTTACAAGCTCAGAGTGCCTAAAATATTGAAGTTAATGAAGTATAGTTTGGGGCGTAGATGATTAACGGTTTGTAGGACATTTAACTTCCAAAAAATTTGGGGAGCTCCCTCTAAGGTGCGGTTACCATAGAAAACTAAACACGTAAGGTAAGGTGTACTTTTTTATCACTCATATTTTCCAAACATATATATACATAATTTATCAGCAAAGCATTACCTAAATTCAATTATTAATTGTGCTGGTGCTTGTGAAAATGGTCTGTGTCAAACATATTAACAAATTCAATTTATCACTTACTTTATGTTGCATCGATTTTTTATTGGAAAAAATATTTTTTAATACACCTAAAGGATTAAGTCTAAATATTTCGAAACGTAAAATATGTAAATTTGACCACTTTCGTGATCACCGACATAATTATAAAGTGCATGTTGGGAAATGGGTTTTAAATAAACTGTTTTCAACTTTCGATATTGAGATATTTTATTTTCTACGCGATGGAAGTGACTTCTTTCTATTTCAAATGTCTTTAGAGGACTAACTCTACCGGGCGCGCAGAGCCGGTAACATGAGGCACCGATGACCTCATTTAATAGGGGTGCGTTATCTCCTTTCTCATATAAACAGATGAGAAACCGCATCTCCGTTCATCACGGAAAGAGATTAATTTTTGATTTGATTTATAACAAAAACCAACAGTGCAGATAATAATTGCACTGTTGGATGTAAGAAAGGCATCAGTGATAAAAGTCAGTTTCGAGAAAAACGTCTCTAAACATTTAAAAGTTAAATATTTCTTATGTGCAGTGAAGTTGTTGCAAGACTATCTACATTGTTAAAAAATTTGATATTTCTTCCTTATAGTTTCATTAACACAATCCGAGTTATGTAATACAGGGTGATTCAGCTAAGTGTGCCACTTAAATTACTTGTAAACTGTTGGTTATATGGAAAAATGTTTCAAACAAAAGTTATATAGTATCAAAAGCAGCACATGATGTAATAATTAGTTTATATTGCTATTTTGCTTTCTTATCGAGATATGAAGGTCATCTTGAGTTTTAATGGTAAAGGGTAAAATTTGACTCTACAGTTGGAAGTAGAATTGAACGCCGAGTAAAAAGCTATTAAGGTGTATGTGTCTAATAACTAATAATTACAGAGATATTCGTCAGGGAATGATGATAAACTTTCGTAGCCGGCTCGTTCTCCGAATTTGACACCACTTGACTACTTTTTTTGGGGGCATGTAAAAAATGAAGTTAATGACGAGCCTGTTCACGCGGTTCGCGACGTGTTGAACCAGCGGCTTATGAAGCACTCTGAGGTGAACAATACATGAAAGAAATAAAGTAAAAATTCTAAACCTCGGTCATCGGTGAAAAAACAGGGACTTATAAGGAATGCGATGGAGAATCAATGGCTTCATAAAGTTATTGTCTCTTCCGACGGGTCAGGATTTGGAGAAATATTTGAACGATGTAAAATTT